CTCTCCCCAGCTTCTCCTGCCCTGAAACAAAAAATAAAAAGACTAAACAGGCAGAAAACTATATATTAAACTATATGCTATAAACTATATATCAAATGTAAGTAAATCCTTTCATCATTTAGTTGTTTCACTCAGTGTTCTCAAACTCTTTATGACAGCCCATAAAACCCTTCATCATCTCCTTTCTATTTGTCTCTGCACCATCAACATTTTTCTTTCTCTGGCTCATCACATTCAGCTTCCCTGAGAGCTTTATCCATTCCCTTTATCTCAGGGGCCTCACACATGCCCTTCCCTTTTCTGTGAACTTTTCTTAATCCGTGTTCTTAATTACGTTCTTATGTTTCGGATCCTAGCTTAAATGTAATCTTTACGAAGTATTTTGATGATGTTTCTACCTGTAACCCACTCATTGTTTTTTATGTTCATTTTTAATAGTACTTGTCACAACATGTCAGTATAGATTTATTTGTTATTATTAATAATATTCCTCATATGACAGTAAATCCAAAAAATCAAAACAGAACAAATGTAGGACCCAATTTTTATTTACTAAGTTTAACTCACACATGCTCCTAGGTCAGTGCCTGAGACTATTGTAGGTTTTCATTAATTACTTTGAAATCAATGTTTTTCTATAGATTATTATTTTCCTAAATTTAATTTAGAAATTAACTCTGTTACTATGATTACAAGCATGTGATCTCAGTTGGCTTACTTCTATAATTCTATAACTCTTCTGGTGGAAAAGATACCATATTTTCCAAGCTCTTCTAAATTCAGATTTATGTTTTAGCAAGCCATCAATCCAGAGTTCACTTTGCAAACTGAACTTCATTTTGAAAAGAACTAAACCTGAACATTCATGACCTTATCTTATAATACATACAGCAAAATTTTACACAGGGAGCTGTATTATTTCCTGCCTTCTTAGTTTGAATGGTTAACCTAAATAATAAAGACATTAAAGAAGATGTTACAAATTACATATTTTTATAAGTGCTTAATTTCAAAATTTAGATAATTGTTTTGTTTAAAAGTTCAACCATTATTATGAAGAAATGCATACATGCTTCTGGTTATTTATCAGTGTGTGTGTATATATATGTACATGTACATATATATACACATATATGTGTGTGTGTGTATGTATATACAGTTACTTGTTAAACAGTTAAACATGAAGGTTGACTCCCATTTCTATAGCATGGTCCGCAGTCATTGCAGTGAATAATCATGCATTGAATCAAAGATAGTTTGATGTATTAATGAACACATGGTACCACATATGAAAATCTCAAAGTACAATAATCTTAGAAGAATAAATAATGATAAAGCAAGCAAAGAAGAAAAATTGGAGACTTTTTCTATACTTAATGATTCTAATGGTTTCAAGTGACATAATTTCAACTTAAAGTACCTCTTTTTTTAAAAAAATATATTTTTGGTTTGTATGTCAAAGTACCATGACATATTTGTTAGGCATAATTGGAAAGAGGGTCATCAATGATATTTTCTCCTTCCTGGTATTGTCTACTTCCTGGGCCTCAGTCTTAAGCTGATCCAATGTAGACATGAAGATCAGCCAAAAAAAGTCAAATATAAATTTGCCAGTCTAACTCTAGAGGAAATAAGAGCCACTCTTTCTAGTAGTTCTAGGAATCACCCTGACTATACTTCTTGAACCACATAGTGTCCAAACCTGAATCTTATTCTTATTGCTGGAGCTGTGCCAACCCCATGCAAACATGGACTATGAAGGGGATGAATATAAAAATGGAAAATTTTCAAAGGAAAATGAGGGACTCTTACTAGAAATGAAGGCCCAGGATGCCCAGGAGGCAAAAATTGTCAAGTAATCAGCATACTTATTCATTATCAATTTAACCATAATTCATTTCTAGTGAAAACTTAATTCTTCATATACTAATACTATGTTCATGCTTTGTATTATAGTTTAGGTCTGATGATTATTCTTTATCAATTATGTCTTTTATTCTATTATGCTTCATTTTTGAGACTCCAGTTTGATTTTTTTTGTCATTGTTCAGGTTATGATCCAATATTCTTTACCTCTTACCTTTTAAATAAAGCCAAGTTTCTCAATTTTTTAGACACAAGAGAGATTGAAGAGAGAAATACACTGCAGCCAGAACTAGAAAGGGAGTCACAGGAGCAAATCCAAATTTTTATTTGTTGATTGATGTTGTGGGAATGAGATGTGGTTGAGAATATCTGAAATATGTATGTCTGAAGGAACTGAGAGGAAGGAATTGTGGGAGGATAAGATTAAACTTCCTGAAAAGGACTGTAGTACATGACACAAAAGAAATATATCAATAACAGTGTTTCTTACCATTTAGATTCCATAACATTTAAGTAAAAGAATTAAAAAGTATCCATTTTATTTTTCTTTCATCTGATAACATATAAGCACCATTTTGGTTTCTCTATGAAAATCAACCCCTCCTGCATTCTCTCTTTATTTAGGATGTAGATTTCCCTTCTAAAGTAGGAACTATATTACCTCTATCTCAAACACCGCTGACCACAAGGTCATTGAATTGCAATTGAATTAAATCCCCACCAAAGTTTAGTCTCAGGGTCTTTCACAGGAGACATTACCTATTTTCTGGCTGTTCAGAGTCATTGTCTCAGCCCGTTTTTCTAAGCTTGAACCATCAGTAACTTCAAAATATTTTTGTTTGTATGTGTGGGTACTCCATTGTGTTGTTTGTTTAACCATTTTGTTATTCCATACTAAAACACAGAAAAATAATACAAAGCTACTTAAGTAACCTAAGTGGAGAATTCATTTTGAGCTTATTTGTTAAACTTCCTATGTACTAAAGGTTTCCATGGCACTAACTGTGTTCCCTGAGTATATTATCTTACCTGTAGTTGGCTGGCTTTACTTTTTCATGGATGTTTCTATCCCTGTGCTGTGTAATAGTGTTTGGTATTTACAGCACCTCCCAGATGGGTGCCTTCTTCAATTTAATTATTATCCAGCTTATCTCCCTTCCAACATCATTTATGAAAATGTTAAATAAGACCAGCCATAATACCTATATCCCTGAAGCACGCTCCTCAACACTTTTAAACTTGATTCAATGCCATTTATCATTAAATTCCTTGAGCCAATTTAAGTCCCAGGAAGAATGTTAATATTGAATCCAATTTGAACTAAATTTTAATTAAGATTTCCAGAGACATTGTATTAAGTTATTTACTATAATCAAAATTGATATCTCCTCTGCTACCCACGTCCCCTCATTTTCTAATTTTACCCATACACCAAAGAATAAGTTTGTCTGGCTTGAATAATTCTCCATAAATATACATAATTTATTTGGTCTGTTTCTGCAATAGTTGCCTTCTCTTTTGCCTTTAGGATTATGTCTGTCATTTTCAGATAAGTCCCAGAATCATTTTATGAAATGTTTCTCCTTCTGGCAGCCACATCTGTCCACTCCCAAATACCCAGGCTCAGACTTAGCTGAATTTATGCCAGTCTATCAAATTTCTGGGTTTTTCTTCTCAACTATTTTTGTTGCTACTATCTCCATGCACATGATCATCTAAATGCTGTGGATAATAAAAGTAGAATCAGAATATGCACAGTAGAAGCATGATGGGGTGTGTAAAGTACTTTGTTTACACTTCATCAGGATGGTAAAATGAACGTTTGAATGGGCCATTGACACAGTATGCCTGAAACTGAATTCAAGTTTCAAGGTAAATGTGTACACTCACATTTTACCTAAAGAGCTACACCAGTGTGTCCAGTAGCTACCTAAGGAGTCTATGAATGCTAAAGAATTATTACTTTAGAGAAGTGAAACTCAGGGGTTAGAAATATATAAGAATATATCAGTAAATATGAAATTTTTTTCTACAGGTTTATTTATTATAATCATATGTGTTTCTCTACTTAGCAGTTTCCCCTTTTGTATAAACTGAGGCCACCTTTCTTTTCTTCATCTATCGCTTTTGGTATAATGAACACAGAAAATACTGTGGATGTTTGTATAATAGATATTGTAAGATTTGCCACTGAAAATCTGTTTTTTCCCTTGCTTCCCCCCTAAGTAAATGTATATTTATCTGAAAGCCAAAGGGTCTTACTTAACATATTAAATAATTATTACCTTAATTTTGCTTTATTAAATTAATAATGGCTCATTCTCTTTTCACACACAATGACACAAATACAGGTTTTAACTATTATATACTAGTTGCCGAAATGATTATAGACATGAACATACTAGCCTTACAGAAGCTTACGTGGTATGATTTCAGGATCTCAGAATTGAATCCCTTTCCTCAGATATTTCTTGGGCTGGATATTCTAACTTTCTAATTAGACATTTTATAATTAGAGATGAATTTATTTGACTTTGAGAAGGTAATACTCTAGGCCTTGTTGGTCCTTTATAAGGCTATGTGAACAAGATTATAAAGATCTTTCTAAAGCCAAGTGTAAATAAAAAGGACTTGAGGCCAAAGGAGTCTCTGGGAGACAGAAAGGAAAACATTACAAATGGAAAAAAATGAGAGCAAAAGGAAGAAGGGAGTAGAAAAGGCAGAGCTCATCTATTTTATATTTTCCAGGCCTTCGTCTACAACGGTATGGGTTTATGTGTCAAGAACAGAAGGTGAGATGGAGAAAAAAAATTAAACTTCCTATAAGGATATTAGATTTGCTGTTAGGGCTTTCCTCTTCTTTTATTTAGTAAATTGAAATAAAGGCAGTCTTCAAGATCCAAATACTTTTGTCACCCTCACAAGAAAAGAAAAGAAAATCCTGCTGTGATTACTTGGTATCTTAACAGAACACAGAGGCCTTGATTCAAGAAAACAAGAGTGTGTATACCACAGGAATCTTCTTTCCTTATTTTTTGTCTTTGAGAGCAAGCTGCTTTTGTTGGGGGAAAAAAATGACACAATGGTGAAAAGTGGAGTCCCAAGAGGATTTATGCTGTGATTTTCAATTTCAGCTCACTGCAGTCGACGCGGATGAAGGGTCAAATGGGGAGATCACCTATGAAATCCTGGTTGGGGCTCAGGGAGACTTCATCATCAATAACACAACAGGGCTTATCGCCATCGCTCCGGGGGTGGAATTGATAGTCGGGAGGACTTACGCGCTCACAGTCCAAGCATCAGATAATGCTCCTCCTGCAGAGAGAAGGTAATTTATATTAGAACCAATGCAGTCTTTTCATCGCTCCTGTTTAACCCCATAATTAAATTCAAGAAGCACAGCAAGTATCCTTTTATCCTATAAACATCTAAATTAGATCAGAAAAATCAGAAAGACCAGATTCTCAGGAACTGCATATTCGTATTTGGTTAAATTGTGAGAAAAGGACAATAAAGAGAAGATAAGACCACAAAATAATTAACTATGATTTCACAGATGTGAAGGATGTATGTCTCTGTTCTGGGAGGAAACTGGCAAACATCAGAGGCATGTGTTCAATTTATTACTAAAAAGCAAGGTTGCTGATCTTGAAAGGTCACAGACATAGTAGTGACATGTAATGTTTCAGGGTTTTGAAGCCACCTCTCACTTTTGAGTAATTAAAATACACACACACACACATATGCAAATATATGTATTCTATCTATGTAAAGTTTTAGAATTTATTACAGAATTTATCATGTATGGACTATATCTACATATATTCTATATGTAAGTATTCAAATATATAATAGAGTGTAAGGGACTGAAAAGCAAAAGATTTCCCAATATTACAACTACATTTATATGGTCCCCCATCTGAGATATTCCTTTTATTAATTTCTTGCTTATTTCTAGATAGTCAGAATGCATTTCAAGAATATATGAATGAATATTAATACATTTCCCCCTTATAATATATCCTAGGGTTCTTATGAATTTCCTTATGAATACTGGATAATTCCCTCAAAACCTTTTTCACAGCTACAGAAGATTTTTTCACATTAAAATTCACTATCAATGGACTTGGCAAATTTCAGTATCTCTTTTACTGACACTGAAGAAATAAAGAACACTGAGCATGCACCATTTGGAATGTGTGCAAGTATATCAATACAGTAGAGTAAATTCTCAGAAATGAGACTAAAAGGTATATGCATTGTAAATTTTGCAGGTAACTACCAAATTGTATTCTATGGGGTTTATAATAATTTACAAGTCCAACTGCCAAGTTTGAGAATGGATAATTCTACAGTTACCCATGCTGTGTATTATATCAAACATTTGGGTTTTTGCCAATTTTACAGGTAAAAAATTACAACTATCTTTTATGCTCTTACTTATGACTTTGAGTATATTTCTTATGTTTAGGAGCCAACTCTATCACTTTTTATGTAAATTTTGTGTTAATAACTTCTGCCCGTCTTTTCCATTGATATGTTAATCCCAGGACAATTATTCTGTTTTCTACTAGTGGTTTTGTGGATTCATAATCTATGTTTAAAGACTCCTTTTCATGGCTCCTGTTTTGCATTTGGGATTTATTGTGGTGTACAGTAGGAGGTATTGATCCAGTACTTTTATTTTGCAAGCAACTATGCCAATTTCCCCACACAATATTTTGAACAGTTCATTTTTTTCACACTAATATGAGATGTTACATTTATTACATCATACATGTTCTTAAGTGTTTGAATTTGATTCTAGATTTTCTCCATATTCCACTAGTTCCCCTATCTTTTCATGAACTATTATCATACAATTTTTAAGGTTTTAAACTATTCTTTGTAATAGAGTGGTGCTAACTTACCTCAATGCCGTTTTTCCCTGAAAAATTTCCCAGTACTCTTTCTGTTACTTTTTTTTCTTTGACTTTATATAAGGTAGTTCTGTAGTTTTTAAACTGTGTTTTCTTATGAACACATAAAGTTTATAAATTAATTATTTCGGGTTAAATTGTGTGTTTTTTATATTGGAACTTACTGTCCAAGAACTTTCTGTCTTTTCTTCTGCATCCTTTAGTTGCTTCTAGTTTTAAAATGTTTTCTTTATGCAAGTCTTTGTTGGTCTGTTTCTGTACCTCTTGTTGTTATTGTAAATATACTTTTTTTTCCTTCTCTTTCTATTTGCTTAATGTTTATACATATAAAACCTTTAATCTCTTTATATTAATTTTTAACTCACTTTCTTATTTAATTCTCTTGGGTTTTTTGTAGTTTTCTAGTTGATTATCCTATATTATCCAGGAATATATATTTTAAATTGTGATAATTTTATATACCCTTTCTTTCCATTTTCTTTCTTTAATTCCATTTGGTAGTCCTGCCGAGAAAAATGCTTATTTTGTTTTTAACTTGAGTGGGAATGCCTCCTAGGTTCCCCCATTATATCAGCTTACGGTTTTAAGAAAATATTTTATTATGTTAAGAAAGTGTTTATTCCTATTTTATCTGCTTTTAAAATAAGAATGGTTGTTAATCAGGTGGAATAAATATCCATCATCTATGATGAAAGTAATGGCTTTTCTTCTTGAGCTAATGGTATGATTATTGATCTTAAAATAGTTACCAAATAAATTTATTTGATATTCCTAGTATGCATCCCACTAGGCCATGATGTTTTAATCTTGAAATAAACTGCTAGATTATGTTTGTTATTTTATTTATTGAAATTAGCGTGTGTCTTTTTTTTGAAAAAAGTTTATGAAGATTTTAAATAGTTGTTGTGATACCTCAAAATAAAAACAAAAAACACAAACACAAAAAATTAACATGTAACAGCAAGTATCAATGATTTATAAACAAATAAATAATCCAAATTTAGTTCTCTGAAAAAAATAAATAAAAGTATGATTAAATGGATAAGCTACCAGTTAAATCAAAAAGGGAGAAAGTGCAACATTATGTAATAAATTCTAGGAGGGAAATAATACAGAAAGAGAAGAAATTAAAAGAATCATAAGAGACAATCTTGCTTTAATATAGGCAAAATTTGGAAACATGAATGAAATGGATGATTTTCTGAGAAGTTATAATTTACCAAAATTGATCCCAAATATTAAGAAATTTTAAGAGATCAAACTTATAGAGGGAATAAAGTTCTCAAAGAGCTACTACCCAAAACTATACCAGGGGGAGGAAGTTTGATAGAGTTGTAATAAAACCATTATGAGTGGATCGTTTCCCTCCTTTTATCCATCTCCCAGAACAAAAACAAAGCCCTTTTCCCTACAGCACACCCAGATAGGGGATTTTTCTCTCCACATTGCTCTTATCATTTATCATGGAGATATGGTAGGTGACCCCTAGTTCCTCACTAATATTTCTACAGTATCCTTCCTCCTTTTCCTTAATATCTTCCCTTTGAATATTGTATCACAAGAGCATGCCATCTACTACACCTCCTTGCTATTGTCATCTACACATGACAGCTCCCTCCCCCATTATCTCCTCTTCTCTCTAACCTCATCTCTCACTATCATTTACATACATTTACAGACCTGCAGGTTGCCGTGGAAGAATTTGGTTTCTGACTGTATGACATTTCCATTAACAGTACTTTTGTCAAAATTCTTGGTAGCTTCCATATACAATATGTGGTTTAAGTCGTCTCCAATCTTGCAGTTACTCTGCCCAAAGAAACTTGGAGCCATCTTCAATGCCTCTCCTTCTCTCAGACTTCAAAAAATAATCTTGAACAACTCCTTTAAGCTCTATTCTAAAAACGTATTCAAGAACCAACAATTTTCCCCTCTGGTAATTAACACCCAATCCAAGCTACTGTTCTCTATAGTCTGGAGTATTGAAAACCTTTCTGATTAGACCTCAGTCTCTTCTCAGTATAATAGCTTGATTGGTTCTAGTGATGTAGAATAAACATCTCTTTGATCAAGATCTCCCGTGGCTTCCTATCTGACTCAAAGTAAAAGGAAAAATCATTAAAATGAAGTATGTAAATACTTAGAACAACTTGTAGATATTTCCTTCAGCCTTTTTAAGGCAAAAATACCCAATATTAATTATATTTTAATAGGTGTTAACTGAGAAATATTCTAAAAGAGCTGCAAAACTCTCATAACTCATAAGGAAAAGGAAAGAGTATTGAAAAATACAAGGAATATCTATTATCATGCAAATGAGGAGACAACACACTTAACTTCTTTGGAACCATTTGTTTTTGGACTTTATGCCAATGACATCTAAGCTTTTTTGTATAACATCTAAGCGTATTTGTGAACTTTCACCAAATCATAACAAACTTTTTTCCTCACTAAAAATAATAAATAAATAAAAGTCTAGTAGAGCCCAGCAGTCTGCCAGCTGCCACCAGCCGCAGGACACGGCCTTGTGTTACCTCGTCATACTTACATCATCTGCTCAACCTTGTCTCTTGGGCCCATGCCAGTCATCACACTTCTCTTCTCTGGGTCCCTGATGCTCACAGCTCTGTTCAAACCTTTGAACTTGACTTCGATCTCTCAGCCTGTATGGCTCCTCCCTCAGATTTCTCTATGGCCTCATGTCATGACTCAGTTATCACTTTCTTTGCGAAGTCTTTTTTGACAACCAATTGCCAATTGCAATAGCCACTCAGTAGTTTCATACCCTTGTCCTGTCAATGTATTATTCACTGCACTTATCACCACAGGATATGCTATTATGTATTATCATTTAGAGTACTAATCTTACTGTCTGCTCCCCCCTCCCTTTCAGAGTTTAATTCTTAAGGGCAAGAATCATGTGGTTTGGTTGTTTCTAAAGTCTTCAGAAGCCAAACAATTCCTGGAATGCTTCAGGTTCTCAACAAACATCTTTTTTCCCCTAAGTTCTTAATAAACTTTCTTTCTTCAAATTAATGAATTAGAATATAGAACAGTATAATACAAAACTCAAACATCAAGTGTCTGTGACTACAAGATTTTCTATGCAGCCCAACAAACCATTTATTATGTAACTGACATTTTCTGTGCTCTGGAAATACAAAGATAAAGTAACACTGTTGGCAGGCAAAAATTAAAAAATACAGTAAAGTTCAGAAAGAATAACTATAAATTCAGTTTAGTTCAGAAAGAATAACTATAAATTCAGGTTAGCTTGAAGTTTGAGATTGAGGTAAATCTCCAGATTTCTGGGGTATTGAAGGACACGTGTCATAATGAAGGAGTACTTAGAAGTTCTAAACAGATGAGTTTAGGAGAATAAGTAGAGGTTGACCAGATGAAAAATGTG